AGGGAATAAGCAGCACATATATTTTAACAGTGAATGTATATTCATTACTATGTCCTATATTAACAATAACAAAAAAAAGAAGAAAGAAGAACTTAGTAATGACGTGTGAGCTGTGAACAGATTTACTTTTTCAAGGAACGTTTTCTCAGCTGTTACCATGAGGTAATAGTAAAGAGTTTAATCTGTGCAAAACACTTTTATCTAACTACTACTTCTTGGGCTGATTTTTTTCTCTGTTACTGTGAATTGTTAACCATTATTCGTTTTTCATTGCATATATATCTAAGCAATCTACCAAAGTATGACAGGGGAAGTAGACCTCCTCAAAAGAAATGAAACACCACCCTGGGGGCAGAAATGGCTAAATAATCAAATTAACAAACATAACTTTGCACCAGCATGCCAGTGTTCTGCACACACCAGTAAACTCACTGAAAACCACACGATTACTACACGTAACAGCACACCAAAACACCGAATTGTATCATGAGTTTGCTACAGATTACACAGTTCATTTAAACTGCACTACTTCCAAGGAAAAAAAAGAGCAAATTAAACTCAGGAAGCAGGCTTCTCTAAACACGTACAAAAACTCCATGAGAAATCCCATGTGTTAAATACCAACGCATGCAGGGTTTATGAGAGAATGAATCCTAAATTTTTGCCTTTGTAAACAAAGAATAATTAAAAATATGCCCAAAGTAATTATAAACCCCAAAAGCTAAAAATACTTCCGCTGTATTTATTCACAATGAAGATTAGTCTTGGCACATATAATTTATAACCCTATTGTGTTTACCCTCATTTACTGTATAATTTTCAGCAGTGTATAATAAAGTAGAGGTTAAAAGATTTATGTTCCAAATCTCCAAGGATTCCTCCACACATTTAATGGAACAATTCCTAGTACTTCAATTTATGTATATTGATAAATCTGAGTTAGCAAGTGGCTTAATTCTGTCAAAGTAAAAGATAATGCAGTTTGTATTTTTAATCTAATTCTAATATACACATATGTAGATCATAAAGAAAAACTGTAAGTACTTTTGATCTTCTGTATTGTGATTTGAAATGTGCATGCTGACCCTTGAGAGAGCAAACAGCAGAATCATTTTTGAGCACAAATACAAATTCCACTATTTCCTACCTTCTAGTGATGACAGTTGCTGTTCAGCTTCCAAATACAACTGAGAAAAGATTGGTCTGGGAACTAAGTTGTTTGAGCGGAGAGAGGCCTCAATAGAATTATGCAACACTTCTTCAAAGCGTGTTGTCTTGAGCTGACCAGCGTAAGAATTTCCCATCTTCTCAAAAAAAAAAAAGAGACAAGAACAAAAGAACAAAAAGATATTTCAATTTTAGCACTCAGAACTCGATCACTGCATGCTGATGTCAGACCACAACATTTCTCATGAAAGGGAGAAAGCTTCATTGTACACGAAGAAAGGCAAAGGAAAAGAACATTGACTGCAGCAGTTGCTGAGCAGATCCTGCTGGTAAATTACAGGAAGTTATCTAAAAGTAACAGCTTTCTGTAATTCAGCAGAAAGGCAACAAGCTTTGACACCTTCTTGAAGATGTGGCTAGAAATCTGATTCAAGTAATTCCTTGGTTTAAGTAGCAATTGAGGAGATGTGTTTTCAATAGTCAGCAGTCTTATCTGTTAAACAGCCTTTCTGTTTTACATGATTTGAGCAGAATAAATGTTAAAGGATCTGGGGAATAGCATAATTTTGTGTATTTATCTTTGCATGGTCCATCATAGCTGAAAACTCATGGCTAAAGCAGTTCAACATATCTTTATAGAGGTGCTGTCTCATAAATAATGTAATATTGCTGTAACTCTGATACTGTGAAATATAATGGCTTTTCCTTCTCCCCTTAAGCAGTACTTTTCCCTGTAAACATGCTTTTTTTTTTAATGAGATATATCAATTATCTATTTGATTTTGCATTTAACTATTAGGACTTTGTTGTTAGTGAAACTGTGTAATTTACTTATTCTGTCATTGAGGAGTCAGTCTATTCCAGCTGAATGTCCCACGTACTTAACTGCCGCTTCCTTTCCACAGCAAATACAATGAACTGATATAACCAAAAGCCATGTCAGCTTTCTTTTCCTATTACAAAGTAGCTCTTGCCCTGGGCCCCATGTCCTTTCCCTCCTCAAGTAACTGTGAATAGAAAGCATGAAACGCTTCCTGTTTGTGGCAGTAATTCCTAAACATTGAACAGCCCCTCCTCAGCACTGGGGACTGCTTGGGAAATGAGCCTGTTGGGAAGCATCCTGCAGGAATCAGTCAAGCAAAAGACAAACTACTGTGAAACCACATACTGCTCTTGATGGAAAAAAAGAGTTTGAAAGGCACAACATACAAATGTGACAATCTGGATATCTTTTTATGACTTTGTAAAGCATATTTTAAATTTGTAATCATATTTCTGTATGCTTGTATGCATCATGTTAATACTATATGTAAGTATAGTTAATACTATATATTATAGCCTATTTATATAATATATATATATAGTATTAATAGAAGCAAAATAAGAATTATAAAAATTACACAGTTAAACAGAAAAGTTGCAGTGAGTAGAACTGATGTATCCATTTGGCGAAGGGTAAATGAGAGGCTGCAAAGCCATTTAGTGATGTTCAGGGCTAACGTGGAAGAGAGGATGCATCTTCTCTTCCAACACAAAAGGCAGATGACAGTTCCCTTTCCGCATTGATAGGAGCTCTTTGGCTCCTCTTGTTTTAAGTACTGCTTCACCTACACCAAACACAGCTGAAGACAAGGAGGAAAGCCTGACATCAGTATTGTCCTTAAGAAGCTTCCCCAGAGGTGTACGCAGGAAACCCAAGGTCAAGCTCTGAAATACTAAATGCTATTTCTACACAAAAGCACTAGATGTTTAGTTTTAATTCTAATCCATCTTGCAACCATTATGCGACTGTCAGGTATCGTGATAATTGCCTTTGTTACATTGATGGTTTATGTTAAATGTAAAAAGTACAAACAATTATCAAGATACTTGACAGACACCTATTTAATTCTTTCTTCTTTTAAAACCCTTCCCATATTAAGAACTGATATTTACTCTTGTTAGGTTGGAGACATCTGTGGGCTTAGAGACTCATCTCTACATTTGCAGGGGCAGGTACAAGCCCAATATGGTTCTATGTGACTGTTCAGCGGTCTTGAAAGTGCACACTAAAGAGAAATAAAAATGCATGAACATGCTTTCAGCACGTTAACACTCAAAGTTACACCTTCAGGAATGGAAACAGCATTCAGCTCTCATCCATTCCATGCAATTTCTTGCATACAATGCTTTATTAAAATACAGAGCCAAAACATGAAAAAATCATATAACATCCAAAAGACTTTTTGTACTTAAAAATAAATCACTGATACACCATAAAGAGAATATCCAAAAGTTTGGCTGCAGTGGCAGAGGTTTGTCTTAATAAAGGGCTGTATTTTACCTGATCTCAACACGACCATGCAAAGCAGACTCGTCTATCTGATTTCCAAACTTATTTCTTGAAAAGCTTCTTTAAAGCACATGAAAAATAGAAAATCTTTTAATTAATTCAGAGTGAGACAAAACATTCAAAGCCAACTCAAAAGCATTATCAGACAAGTAGGCACACAGACTGCTTTATGCAACCAAGCTTACTTGCTTTATTGATCATTATCTGAATCTTATTGTGGTGAGTGAGAAAACACTGTAATATTTCTTTTTTATAAACTCTATTCCATAGACACAGTCAGCTATTACTCTGTACAGTTTATTAGGAACAGAAATAGATACACCATTTACAGGAATTTAACATACTCGCTCAGGATTTATAGGGGCCACTAGTGGACAAAACAGAAACCCAGTATGTAACCCTGAGGATGGCAGAAAGCAGCATCTTATCAATGGGATGTTACAGATAAGGAACTAGTTAAGATTAAGTAATTTGTGCAAGGAGCACGTCCTGGAAACCTTTACAACAGAAGCATGCTTATTTACGCACTCGGGTGCTAATTCAATGGATTTGTAAAATATGCTTTCTGGATCTGTACACCTGGTAAGCTCTTGTATACCTCTGGGATCTCACAATCACAGTGCCAAACACACTCATAAATCTAGGAACATACTTTGGAAGATGTGATCAATATTTTATAGACATTTTCATCACCAAACACACACCACTGGGACCAGAAAAAGGGCACTGTAGGAGCATCAGCATCAGCCTTTACCACCCAAAGTCCCAGCAACTCTCAGTTGCAAGAGAAATTAATACTACAAAACAAGCAAGGAAGAGGCTGTTTCTCACTAACTGGTGGTCACCCTCTCTTTTCTTTAAAGCAGCCCAGACTGTGGTACCTGAATTGTAAAGTGCTGATTCCGTGGCACCAGGAAGCAAAGGCTTTGAGTCCTATTTTCCTGCTTCAGTGAGCTCAGCGTTCCCAGCCCAGATTTATGCCTCTCTTGGATACAAGTGGGAGGCACAGGCTAAACTTTCTAATGCTTGTGAAATTCCAAGCCATGAACATAGATCTATTATAAAAAAACCCCAACCCACACTGACATAGAAGGATAGCCCTCGACCCCAGCGACTGATAAATCAAAGGGCAACTCCCTATCACACTGTCAGTTTCCATGGAGAGCATGCCGAGAAAAATACTTCCCAATACAAAGAGGAGAAAAAAGGAAAAGACCTGGACCTGAAAAAGCTGCTTAAAACCATGATAAAAAGAAGAAAACCATTCTGAGGAACCTGGGACTCTAAAAAACAATTGCAGACACAAATTAAGCAGGTCAGGCCAATGTCTAAGAAACCCATGGATAATGCTGCCAAAGAGAGAAGCCAAGTCCAGGCACCTGAAAATGAGAGCAGAAGTGTGTTAGACACTAAAGAGAACAGGCCTCAAATTCCAAACAAGGAACGGTCAGGATTCCTGTGGTAAACAGGGATTACGCAACTAGGAAAAACAGGGATCTTCTTAAGGGTTAATGTCTGTCACATATGGAGTCAACTTCAAGTTCAACTGCAGTTGAACCAGTCAGGTTTTGAAGAACTGCTGTGATACAGACGGAGGGGTTCCCTCTAGGCCATGAGGGCAGCACCTACCATGAGAGCCATGACAGAGACTGGTCCTGATAACACAGGGCAATTGCCAGCAGCAGGAGGACACGCAGTCATATCACCTAGATCTTGGAGGGAGATCTTTTGCACAGTGGAACAAAGACAGTAACACACCAGTGACTTTTTAGTTGCAGTTGTCTGCAATAAAGATCAGTGAGGAGTATTAAGATTTTTGAAAGAGCAAAGCAACTCTGGGCAGGATTTATCCTATACCTGGGACAGGATGGGTATCCTAATGAAAGCTTTTGACTTTAGAGCATGGAAATTAATCCAGAGCTTTTGACAACTCCCATCAAAATAGACTGACAAAGAAAGTCTGCCTTCAGCAGAAACCGAGCAAATAATATATCTGTGCTTTGCTAAGAAGTCTTGAAAAAATAGTCAAGGGTTTTAAGTGGGAAATTAGGAAGTCACAGTTAATGACTAACAGACTGAATCTTACAAGCAACTTACAAATTATTGCAGGAGGAAAAGTTTCATACTAAGTTCCAAATTTTTTTTCATTCTAAAATGTAATTTGCCTTACCACTTTAATGTATTAATCCTGCCAGAAAAACGCTATAGCAATGGATACATTTTCCCAGTTCAAGCAGTCAGCTTTGATACTTTTGAAATGGCCTCACAGAGTAATTTCTATTGTATCATTTCTAAGAGGAGGATGCTAAGATGTTTCCAAGCTCACTGTTACTCCAAAATAATTTATTATTGCTATGACAAGATGCAGTTCATCACTTACATGAAATGAGAGGCTTTGTTTGAATTAACAGTGGATTAAGGAATTCAAAAAGCTATCTGTTAAAATTTGTCTGGGAGGAGAAAGCATTCTTTACTGCAACTTAACAATTAGATCAGAGATCAGTACCAGAAAAGCTGTTAGCCTGATCCTTTTGCTCTTTGAACACGAGTTAGATCCATCCAGTAACACCCAAAATCCATTAATATTTCTAAAGTTTGGTAAAATCTACAATAATTCATGAAAACCTGTATTAATAACAACAATCTGACTAAGAAGAAGGAAATCCTAGGGCAGGGACTTGTATGTAAATATAACTATAAAAAGAAAAGTAAATTCAGAGACAGCACAAAAGTGATTCTCTTCAACAGCAGTTGAAGATCTTCCTCGTGGATTCAGTTCAGCCACAAGACTGTGTAATCATGTTT